AATCAGGGTGTACACACACACACACGTGACAACAGGCGATGGTTTCGCCGGTCGCTCATATGAAGGTATACAGTATAGACATTATACATTTGTACAAATGAAATAAAGTTACACACACTGACACAGACTCCCAGCGTAAGCGGCTAAAAGAAGCTGGGCACACCATAGGGTTCGTACCATAGAGCGGTTGCCGGCCACCAGGCCAATGAGCAACAAAGGCCTGCCGCAAGCAGGATGCGATTCTCGCAGTCTCGCAGAGTCTCTGCTTCCCTCCTTGGAGTTGAGGAAAGCCATCGCGACCAGCCCATGCCTCGGAGGCGGACATGGGACAATGCAGCCGAATCTTCCGTGGAACCCCGCGAGCTTGCAAGCCAGCCTGTGAAGAACTGCTGCACACACAGTGCGCGCACGTGTGTGCACGAGTGTAACGAGTACTTCCGGCTTGCCTGCTCAGATTGTGGCTACGGCAAAGAGAATGCACATGCCGTCTGAAAGGTCTTAGACCCAGCACCAATGGCCCCCGCCTAGAAACAATACCGCTTGAAACACAACAGACAGATCCCCTTGCAGACTCCCAGCGATTCCCCCGAGCCCGGCAAACATGTCTCAGACTGCTGCTGCGCTGCCAGGGGCTCGACATCTTGCCACAACCTTGCAATGGACACTTTGTCATTGTCAGAGTCTTTGACAGTCTTCGCGAAGATCAACTATGACCTATGAGAAGCTATACCTGTGTGACAAATGAGGGACAAGACCATGTGCACCCGATTGTTCCACAACAGTACAGTCTTCCTACACTGAATACACTGAACTGGGCGCACGCGGCAAAATGATGAGCACGGGAGATCAGAAGCACCGCCACTCCGGTCTGCTTCGCCTCCGAGTGTCAAGATATGACACTTGCGCTGAGCACAGCCTCCGTCTGCCTTCTCCACAAGCATTGGATGCCCTGCTAAGCACCTCAAGCACACTTGCATGGTACTTTCTTCAGCGCCGAAGCTTTCGAGAAGCAGACGCTGGAGTGGAAAAGCCGCCCCTGGCAGGACATGCCCTGCGCTTCGACCGAGGGAAGGAGCCAGAGCCATGCCCCACCTTGCGTCCGCAAGGGCACAGGACGGAGCAAGGCTCCTCACCTCTCACAGAAAACCGGCCAAAGGCCAATTTGGGGGAGCGATCGCAGGAGCGCAGGAGCCTCCGGCAGCACATCGCCTCTGACCTCACAGGTGCCGCCTTGTAGCACCCCCGTAACTTCAGGATAAATGGGGCACTTTGCCCACCTTCCCGCTCCGCAGAGAGGAGCAGTAGCCGGGGAGTCGAAACAGCCCATGAGATTTGCACCTTTGCCGAAAGTTCTCTCTCTTATGCCTGAGCCTCCAGTTCTACATACCGCTGGCTCCGATTGCAGGCTTCCGGCCCGTCTTGCTCAGCTCTAGTGATGTTTGCCTCCGATCGAATACTCTGGGGGGCCATGCATTAGAACCCTTTTCTATCCAGCAGCCTGAAAGTTCTTATGCACAAACATCTTTCGAAGCGATAACGAGCAAAATGGACCGGGTCGTTGATACCGTCGAGCTTTAGGCATAGCGCCTCATGAAGTCGGTGTGAAACTGGGCAAAAGAAGCCATAGCTCTCTGCATTTGCTCCAGTGTTGGGAGAAAGGTTGTTCGAAAGTGGAATGTGCCCTCAAGCTGTCTGAAGCCGGAGCCAGGGACCACCACGAGCCCCGTGCTCTCAAGCGCCTGCATGCAGTAGAACTCGTCTGGGGCGACGCCTTGGGCTTCCGCTGCTTCGATGGCCGCTTTCGGAAGCTTTACTTGCGGGAAAGCATACATTGCCCCGCCAATCTCTTGCAAGGAAATGCCCGGAAGGGAGCTCAATGTCTTGTGCAGAATCTGTGATTTCTGTCGCAGAGAGTCGAGGACATGCTGCTTCTCCTCGTCATACAGAGCTGCTGCATCGGCACAGGGTGGTCTGACCATCAAGCCAACTGACAGTTGCCCAACGGTGTTGGAGCAAAGCTCAACCGATTTTAACTTCACGAACTGCTCCATGACTTCCGGATCGAAGTTCTCAAACACACAATAGCCTCCTCGGACACCACACTCCCCGAGGAATCCTTTCGACAAGGAGTGGAAAGATGCGATTTCTAAGTCAAGCTGTTTCTCTCGAACAATGCTGGACATGGACTTGAATGGATGAGCAGTCAAGACATTCTCCTGGTACACCTCATCTGCAAGCAATACCAACCCTTTTTCGTGTGCGAAGCTCACCACCTGCTCGAGCGTCTCTGCTGTCAAATTGTTGCCGGATGGGTTTCCCGGATTGATTACAACCAATGCACGCACGATGACTCCGCGCCTCGTGGCTTCCTCATATGCTGCTGTTAGGGCTGGGACGCTGACGGCCCACTTGTTCTCCTCGTCCAGGTAATAACCCACAAGTTCACAGTCCATCAAGGTCGACAGGGCTGAATAGAGAGGATACTGGGGGATAGGCGCCATAATTCCAACCTTTCCGAGATGTGGCGCAGCCAGTGCCGACATCAGCAGCCTCACACCTTCACTGGCTCCGTTTGTTAAGAAGACCTGGCTGATGTCAGGCTTGTGTCCGCTCCCGTCCCGGCGCGCGATAAAGTCACAGACTTCTTCTCTAATGAATTTGAATCCGACAGAATCTGTGTAGGCTCCAACCTTGGCACTTTTACTGGAGTACTCTCGGGCGCGTTCTGCTGCCTCTGCTGAAACAAGATTCAGTCGGACAAGCTCATCTGCCCTTTCCAGCATGCGGGGCGCTGTCAATAATGCAAGCACCTCCCTGTTGAAGGACAAAGGAACCTGTCCAACTTGCTGCGGATTACCTATGTTGCAATGCACCAGCTCGGAGAATGGATACTTGGCGCCGTTTGCAAGTTCTGCTTGGATCGCAGCTGCTCGGGTGGGCAATCTTCCACGCACGGCATACTCTGCTTCCAAAACCTTCTGATTGATAGTGGCTCGTGTCAAGCACTTGAACCTCAAGGAGCCCTGCGTAGGCAAAAGGCCATGACGAATGGAATCGGTGAAACCCAAAGCCCAACTCAGGGCCCGTGGTGCCTGCCTGGCCTGCAGTTTCTGACAAGCAGCAGCCATGGCAAGGCTGTCGCTGCCCCTTTTGCAGCTTACCAGATTTGAGCCTGTGTTAAACGAACTACAGGGATTGACTTCTCATGATACCACAGAGAAGTGCCCACACTAAGAAGACTCGCCCACGAAAGAGAGAGAGAGAGAGAGAGAGAGGGAGAAAGAGAAACAGAGATATTTGTATGTGCACAGACTCAGTTACTCAACAGCAGCTCAAGCGCAGGCCCGGCCGTAATTGCAGCTGCGGCTGTCTCGTTCAGCCCAGCTTTCTGCAGCGCCTTCAGACGAATGCAGAGTGGCGTTTTTGTTGAAGCCTCCACTTCCCCGCCCAACTGATGAAGTCATGGAGCCTTTTGGCAGAGAGCCTCGCATTCGCGCCTCAGCTTGAACTGGCGAACATGAAACTTGCCATGGGGGCTTGTTCGAACGCACTCATCGAGAATGTAGGTCAGCTCCGTGCAATGATATTCGTACTCTGCCCATGGTGTCTGTAGAAGGGGCAGTCACTTCTTGTATTTGGCTGGTTTGAAATGCGGTGCTCCAACAGTAGATATTTGGTCGTGTGTCCTGTAAGCGGTGTTCCAACAGTAGATATTTGGTCGTGTGTCTTGTAAGCAGCTCGACAGCCGTGAAAGGCGGTCTGCAAAGCTCATGGGGAAAAGGCATTCACAAGCCTGACATCGGTAGCCAACGACCAAGAAAGCATCTTTGTCACCACAGCACGAGTCCTTGCCTTAAGCAGGGATCAAGCCGTCCAACCGCATTCTGTCTTTACTTCCCTGTCTGGGTGGTACAGAGCTCCATCCTTTAGAGCATGCTTGAGAACACTCTTGCCGAAACCTTTCTGGGGGCTCTTGCAACTGTTCTCGACTTGAGGCCTATGACTATGATCCGGCGAGATATCACCTCTGACTCATCTCGTCCTCGCACTCGACGGCGGAGTGGCGAGTGACCGACCGCAACGGTCCACCTGTGAACGAACCACCACCAATCCACAGTCTGCTGATTTATGCGTTTGTGCCTCAATCCTCTGCGCTGGTCAAGCCGGCAAGGACGAACTTTTCTGCATCCTCAGCATCATCAAGACCAGCCAATACCAGCCAAATACTTTCTGCCGCTTTTGGCCATTTTTAGCCCCGAGCCCGCTGGCTGCGCTCGCACCGGACAATGATTCAGCCTGCCAGTCAAAAGCTGCGGTGGTGACACCCCAGACCCACTCCCAGGTCATATGCTGTCGAAGCAGCTCCAAAGCGGCCGAAGTCAAAACGAGGAAAGTGTTTCACGCTTCGGACCGGTCTCCTTGGTTGGCAGCGTCGTTCACCGATGTTTACCCGTAGGCCCCCGACCGCAGCTGACCTCTCGGCTCCGCCGTGTGTCGCTGCCAGCGTTGAAGAGCTAAGCAGGGTGGCCTTTGCCAGTCTGTTGTTGAGTCTTGAAGTCGTGCTGCCGGGTTGGTCGCTCACGGTTGACTCGGGAGAGGCCGTGGACATGAAGGAGAGGTGCTGCCTCGGCTTACCAACTCCAGATGCCAAATATGCAAAGGTTCAGGAGCATTGAGGCGCCCGCGGTCGCTTGGCTCTCCAACCCTGCAGAGCGCAGTTTTGCAGACTAGGTCATGGCACGTTTGTGAATGGTGGTCTATCTATCTATCTATCTATCTATCTATCTATCTACCTTTCTATATATAAGTAACTGTTGGACCATGCCAGTTCAGCGCGAAGACTTTCCGTGTTACATGAGGGCATCAGCAGCATCTTCACAAAGTATTTTAACAATCACATGAGTAGAGTGTCATGCATCAAGCTTGGGTCTCGTGTCACTCCGTGGATCAGAAGAGGAGCCTTCGGCGTGCCAGCTGCCTGCAGGATGCCAGAGCATCGGAAACGCATGAACAAGTATCTGCCCCATGCACCTCTCGCATACGCAAAGACGCGGCCTCAGCCTCACAGCACACCAAACCATAGCGAGCGGAAATCGCAATGCCTTCTTGTCAGGGCCTCATCTGCAAAAGCAGTTAACCGCTGTACAACATCCTGGCAGCATTTCCGTCGCACCAGAGTTTACTCACTGAACATGCGCTCTGCCTTCCGTCGCTGCTCACGCCGCCTGACCTCTCTTCTTTCAGCCATGCCTGGTAATGCGATTGAATCTCCCGGTGTTCAAAAGGTTGAGAAGAAGCTAAGAGCTTCTCTTTTCATTAGTCGCCGCAAAGCCTTGAACTCCTGCAGTCTGCAGTTGCCCTGCAGTTGCCCTTGTTGCCCTCGTATCGTTCTGTGAGTTCTGCGCAGGTCCTTCTTAACCTCAATCAACTTCGCCACTCGAAGGTTTCGATCGTGAAGACGTGCCTGACGAGGCTGGTCAACCAAAAGCATACTGAAGTCCTGGAACATGCCGGGAGTCCTCTGCATTATGTTGCTTGTTTGCCAGGGTTGCCTGCAACTCTGGCTATGATCGCTAAGCAGTGCTGCGACAAGCAAGTGCTTGTATGATAACGTGAGTGGGTGCACCTTGAAGGCATCGTTCGTCTTGCCTGCCATGGCATGTCCTCTAAGCCACCTCGAGCGGCGCTCAATCCATTGCCTGTCAGAGATGTCACTTTCTCGGGCTGCACCCATTGGGCATTCTGAGCACCTGGAGAACTTCACTTTGGCCATGTCACGCATACGTCCAACGCGCTTCTTGACTTCCTCGCAAGCTCGCGACAACAGAAAGCTGGCACACGGGAGCTTTTTAAGTCTTGGGCAACATCTCGCTCGGCCAGCTTCACAGTGGCCTGGTCTCAAGCTGCCGACGAATATTATTTGACAGTGCGACAATGCAGCCTCATAACGAGCTTCCTCGGCACGAATCTGCGCCTGGTGGACAGCCTGATTGCAGGAAGGCGAACGACTGTGGATTGCACTGCCTGCACTGCCCACTTGCCTCGCGGCGCGCATGCCAAGAATCACAGCCTCGACGTGGGGTCGGTCAACCAACACATTGCGCCCTTTCCGAAGCTGAGAACATCTGAGAACATCACGTCGGTAGGCGCTGGTAAAGTTTCTCTCCTCTATACAGTGTTTCCGACAACATTAAACCCCATACAAAGTCTCAAATCTTGGGATGCAAGACCGACGCCTCCGATGGAAGGATTCCAGAAGCAAACGGGGCGTGGTGACGTGGATTCGTTTCCTCTTACTGTGCCTGGTTATGGGAATGACTTTACAGCCTGACTCTCGGGTATTACGGTTTTGTCTCAGACAGTCTATTTGCCTCCCTAGCTGTCTGCCCATCCGTCTAACTATGTCTGTGCACTTACATGTGCGGATGTGTGTGTGTGTGTGAAAGCGCCTGAACATGGCGAGTTGCAGTCTAATGAAATCATTTCCAATGTCATTTCAGCAGAGGAGCAAGGGCTCTAGTGACAAGCCTTGCCCAACGAAGCCAGGTCACTGGAGTGGATGCAATGGCTGATCACCACTGTGTACCTGCCGTTTGTGACATAGTGCACTGTATGTACTTGCTGTGCATGATTTTTGCAATGACGTGTTGGCTGCACGGTTACCACAATCTGAAGCTGATGGTCTGTTCGTCTTTGTCATGTCCTGCCGATAGCGAGTAGCGCGAAGTTTCATTGCATCAGTTCGTCCCAAGCCTGAGTGTGTCTGGCATACCCGACACGGGGCCAGATCACAGCCGGCAACGCCGGAGCCCGCGCTAACAGATGTGGGACTTCGACGCTCAGACGTTAGAGGTTTTTGCTTGTACAGTCCTCGCGTGGACTGCCTTTACCTTCGAACGCATTTTTCGACACTCCCACCTTTCGTACCTGGCAGCAACACTGCAGCGCATTTTGAGGCCAGCAAGAGACTCTCAGTTCTGAGTTTTCATATCCTGCCTTGTGTGCCTTGCATCGCATGGCCAAGCATTTGCCTGCGTACATGTCACCGCAACCTGTACTCGCCATTTCACTTGCTTTAGAGTTTAAGGGTTTGGGGTCCCCTAGGTTCTATAGGCCGATGCGCGCACCATCCATGGCACATACATTGTACCGGCAAGAACTCCGCGCCTGTATGCGTACAATACTCAGAGCATTCGGGCTGTCACGCCTTTCCATGTGCCAAAAACCAGCGTATCTGTTGCAAAACATCCTTATGTTTCCCAGCTGCTCTTGAATCATAAAGATGCCTTCCGCGCATGGGCTGCCAAGAGCCCACCACGCTGCTGTTGTGAGCAACTCCGACAATGGGCACCTGATGCCCCGGTGTTTCAAGGACATATTGCTGCCACGGCTGAGGATTTCACTACGTCAGCTTTCAGCACTGTGGAAAAGGACATCCTCAATGGTTCTATGGCAAACACCTTTTTTGCTGATGCTGAACAGATGTCTGAACAATCCAGCCACAGTTGGCAAAATTGGTGCCGAGCCAATGACCTACTTGGACCACCTGTAGGCCTCAAGCAGGTCTTTGCACATTCGTATGCTCAACATCAAAGAGGTGCACAAGGACTCTATCGAGCAGAAGCAAACAGAAGCATCAGGACCAAGACAAAAGCAGCCATCTGGCATTGCGAAAATCATCGTGCCAGACAGGCGGTTTGCTACTGCCCATGTCTGTACCACCAGGCCCTTTCTGGAACTTTCGAAAACCCCGACATCTCCAAGGAGCCTGGTGAATCGTTCGAACAACAACTTAGCCAGGTTCAGAAGCAGGCCATAAAAGCACTAAGCCGACGATATCCTTGGGCCTCCTAGCGACGATTCTGCACCCCTACAGCATACATTCTTCCCAAGAGGAAGAAACAATTTTCCTCGGGACATCCGATCGGCCTTTTTGAGACCTTTACTGGAAGCCACAACCCGACTTTTGCATCGCCTCACTCAACTGGCTTTTCCCGATCCTTCGCCAAAGGGGATGTTTCTTTCAGCATTCTTCCTCGGAAGCTATGCATTGTCGCAACCAAGACCTCTTCACAACCATTTCAACCGCCCAGTTCCAGCGAGCTTGGATGGTCACCAGAGAGCTCTA